TCATAAAAGTAAACTATTTTTGTTTGAATATATTTTAAAGTTTTAAATATATTTTCTACTGTTCACATTGTTTACGTATATTTCCTAGGAATATTGCAGAATTTTGTTTCAACACCCACGAATGAAAATCCAATTAAGAGGTGCAATAGTGAGGTCAAAAATTGTAGCAAGATCTTTGTACCAGACTGAAGTGTACAAATACAAACCTGCATGGCTGGTACTAGACACAATTGTTTTTAAGTTTTTAAATATGTTTTTTAAATTGAATGCTGTAAAAAAATCTAAAGCACCGAACAGATTATTTGAAAGTAATTCTTTCTCCTCAGAACAAACATATAAATATCACAGTTGGATTTTCATGTGAGAGGGAAAGGGGCGAAGATTACGGCATGATGCTGTACCACAGAAATCGTCTAATTACAGCTTATGAAAAAGTTGGATACCAAAAACAAGTAAAAAAAGTTCCTGAGCTTAAATGTAAAACAAAACATTAACGTTAAACAATAATTAAATAGCAATTTACAACCAATTATGCAAAAATAAATTGTGTATTCTGTTTAGGCAAACGAGAAAGGTGTAGGTGTCGTAGGGGTGGCTGATGTTAGTTTCTTGACTGCCACTCACAACAAGCAGGATTTCGAAAAAGATAAAAAGTTTATGTAAGTTTTATCGATCCTGTTTAATGGCGTCTTTGTATCTCATTCTTTATTAGTACTCTATAAAGTGTCAAAACAACACTGGCAGTATATATATGACTTAATCTACTTAGATCTGTTATGAAGGCGATCGCTGAAAAACTGAATGATTACTGGGATGAGAACGCGTCAGACGAAAGTAATTCAGCAGGCCAGGCAGTCACTGAGTACGTTTAAATACTATTTGGTGTAGAATTCTAGTAGCGAAACATTTCATCAAGCTAAATCACTTTACATAATTGTCTAAGCAGGTATTGGTTATTATAGATTTAAACGTATCCAGTGTTTCTTCCAGACTTTTTTCTCCGGGGGGGCACTTGAAATTTTCGGGGGGCGGTAGACTTTCTTCGGGGGGGGGGCGGACACTGTTAAAAGTATATACTTTCTATATAAATTATATAAATTTCGTTCGGGAGGGCGGTAAAAAATTTTCGGGGGTCTTTCCCCCCCCCCCCCCCCGAAGAGATGCCTGGAAGAAACTCTGGTTGTATCAACCACCAAAAAGAAACTTTTTCTATATGATGCAAGATATTTTTTATAATTAAGATATAACTTATTAGTTTTTAGAAAGTCAGCTATTTATTCTGTCTTAATAATAGGGTGTGTCCTGACTGGACCTGGGTCCAATGCGACCTGTGTCTCAAATGGAGAAGGCTACCCCTTGAAACACAAACAAAAAATCTTCCAGATAAATGGTTTTGTAGATTCAATACAGATTCTACTCATAAGTAAATGCTTTATTATACTATTAGTAAATACTAATTTATGATGAAGTTGTTATTTGTTAATTCAATACAGATTCTACTCATAAGTAAATGCTTTATTATACTATTAGTAAATACTAATTTATGATGAAGTTGTTATTTGTTTATTCAATACAGATTCTACTCATAAGTAAATGCTTTATTATACTATTAATAAATACTAATTTATAAAGTTGTTATTAAATATCTTAAACTTCGTATGTTTTTAAAACATGTTATCTCCTCCAGTCGTTGTGATGTACCTCAAGAGGAGCTTGAGGAAGATGGCGTTTACATGAAGAAAAAAAATAAACAAAAGTACGTGTCGATTCAGTTATTTTATTGGTTTATGATATCACATTTTAAATCGAGCTTATATTTAAAATGATTACAAATTTTATTGCACTCAATGTAGTTGTTAAGGAGGATTACAGCTATAATACTTAGTTTAACATGTGGTATTTTTAAATCCATTCAAAGGAGCAAGAACAAGAAAACTGCGAAAAAGGTCAAAAGCTTTACATCACCATTTAAAATAAGAAAAATTTATTTCTTTAATGTTTAATCTCTACTTGCCAATGAAGTGACAGCTTCTATTTGAATTTGCTTTCATAATAGTTTAAAGCAGAAAAATTTACATCCCATTTTTCGGTACTTTTACAGGGCAAGACTCAAAAGAGAGCTATCCCTGTCTTGCCTATACGTGAAGTTCGATACCCTGTTAAAGGATTGTAAGAAACTAAAGCAGTTTAAATAAATACTCATAGTTTATATACTCTGATTTATAATATGGATCTATGCCTATGTATGTAACACATAACCTAGATGTAAAAAAATGTAAGTATTTAAAAGTTTGTCTGTCAATGTTGCAGACCCAGTGATAAATCTAAACCGTTACCCACTAAAAGAAAAAGCGCATCAAATACCGAAAATGTGCATGATGACAGTGATGAAACCGCACACAGCTCACGGAAGAAATCTCTAAGGTCCTCAAGTTCTAAAACTGAAATCACCACAGTTTACAAGGCGAGACGGAAAACGTCTCCTTTTGATAAACATTGTGATGATGTTGACGATGAACCTGAAACAATACCTGGTAAATGCATTAATCATCTATTAATTAATGATAATTTTTATTTTATTAAAACTGACTATTTGCCAAAATGTTACTAAATTTTTAATCTCTCGAGTTTAATATCATCAAACTCTTTGACCAATTTAACTGTCACAAAAGGACTAGCATTACAAAGCTTTTTTAATTGACACGCATAGCAATATTTCTTCTATTAATTTAAATAAACCGGGAGTGGTCTCCCCTAAACTTTCTCGAATATTTTTATATAAAATAACAGGGGATGGAAACTCGGGCTATAGACATGATTTTTAATCCATTTTAAATACTTAAAGTTTTAAAAATAGAATAAAATCTCGTAGACAAAAGAATTGCACACCAAGTGAACGCTAAATAAAAAAGTGCATAATAGTGCGCAATATTATTAGTACTTTAAAAATTTACATTAGTTTTTTGAGAAATCGGAAGTAGCGTAAATTACTACTTCCGGTCAACGGAAATGACTCAAAATTTAACAGAAGGTAGAGAATTAGATCTTTTACTTACATGTGAAATTTCGTCTATCTATCTGAAATAGTACTCAAGTTATAGGCTTTTGAAAATTTCAAAGTAGGAAAAGTACCACTTCCGGTTATCAGAAATCGCTCAAAAGTTGATACGGATCCACGATTTCGATAAAATACTTATATATGAAATTTCATCAACCTAGCTGTAACGGTACTCAAGTAATCGTGTTTACACACGGACAGACAGACACACACACAGACATACGGACAAGATTGCAAAATTATGTTTTTCCGTATCAGTGAGATGTAAAAATCTCGATTATTTTTTTATTTTTTTGCACGATTACAAGACTTTCTCTATACTTCGTACATACGAGAAAGTAAAAATGATGTACATTTAATTTTAAACTGAAATTAATTAACTTTAAAGGGAACGTATGTTCGGTTTAAGCCTGTTCCGTTTAATCACTCTGTTTTTTTATGTTCGCTGACTAAAATTGAAATGTATCAAAATATATTCTAATGTGTTGGTTGCAGAAAAAACAAGTGAACTTAGAAGGTCCACCTCTGAAAGTTCATTCGAAGGTTTTCAATTTGAGCTGAACGGTAAACCAAATCACAAAGGAAGGAGCAGTGGTCCATCTTGCAATGTTGACCTCGCATTGGATCCATCAGCAGAAGATACGGATAATAATGATAATGATACAGATGGCAATGACGAAACAAACTCCATGTCAAGTTCTGAAGTGTGTTCCCGTGTGGACAAGAGCCAAATGCCCTCATCAAGTTTTGTAACAGAAAGTCTTCATCAGAATACAGACAAACGTGGCTCTGAAATAAATCAGAGGGGTTCTGATGAAATGAAAAATATGAAAATAGAACTAGCCCAGCATAAGGAAAAGATCAAACAACTAGAAGATAGGCTAAGTAAGTTCTCCTACAGTGTTCGTAAGCTATTACGACTGACCTTACCTAAAAAATATCATGACGGTACTTTGGATAACATTGAGGATGATATTGGAGATATTATTAGTAAAATTGCTGCACAAAGTGAAATGACCTTGATGCCAGACAACGTGGATGACGAGATTGAAGAAATGATTAGAACAATTGATGATTCAAATCATATCTAAATAGGAGTAAAAATGTCTGATAGAAACTCTGGTTGTTCCGATAATCTATTTAGCTGAAATCCTATTTGCAGCTTGTCGTTTAACCCAATGTATGTTAAAGTAGCCATCACAAGTAAACAGAAAAAACTGATTTAATTTCATTATCTTTTGCTGTGTAAAATACGAATGTAAAAATAGGATATAGATCATTTGTAATTATCCGTAGTAAGCATTGTATCAATAACCATTACTTCACCTGCACTTTTTTTGTATTGTTGGATTTTTTCAAAAGTAAATCTTATTTCAACTCGAAGGTTTAGCGCAATAGTTTGTGTATACTTTTATGTTTGATTATGACTGGCTTATTGTTTTGTTTTTAACATAGCCATTGATGAATCAGTATAATTGTTTTTAACATAGCCATTGATGAATCAGTATAATTGTTTTTAACATAGCCATTGATGAATCAGTATAATTGTTTTTAACATAGCCATTGATGATTCAGTATAAATAACCCAAACTTCCTGAGGAGTTCAGGTAAGACTGGAACCACATTGAGACAACAGCCTGCTACAGCACAGGACAGATAAATATTTGTTTGTACACAAAATGCGTCGTTTATTAAAGTTACTAGCCGAGTCTTCTTTTGGTGTACTACCAATAGGTCTTACTTTGAGTTTAATGCATTTTAAAACTAATAAGAGTCTTCTGACAAAATCGTGGAGTCTTTTATATCAACTTTGTAAGTACAAAAGATTAAATGGCCAGGTGAATTTTGGTTTTCTGGATGGCTTAAATTGTTTAAACTAATAAGTGGCGAATCATTTCAAGTTAGCAGCCTGCCTTTAGATCATACTTTAACATTGTCTACTTTGCCACTTTTCTGGAAATACAAGAATCTTTTTAACTCCTTAAGCAAGTATAGTAGGTCTACTTTGTTTAAAAGTAAGATTTTTTTCAATGCACAATTATAGCGGAATATAGATAGATTAGTAAACACTAATTTTTGATGAAGTTGTTAGAAAAATAAATAATTGGATACTTAAAATGTTCTGCGAGTTAATGAGGCTCAAAGCTTGCATAAAACACACAATTAAAACAAACAGGTTTTAGCGTTAACATTTATTTACATTGTGTGTGAAATTCTGAATCTTCGACCTTTATATATGATTACATATATGACGTTTGACTACTGCTATTCAGCACTAAGTTATTTGTTAGATCTTGGATTTTAAATTTCATAGTGATAGACCATTTTTTTTTCCTGACAATCTAATTTAAAAACTCAAGGAATACAATAACACTAGAAATATGTAAATTAAAAAAAATATTTCGAATATATTTTACGACATAAATAACGATGAAAATCGAAGATTTGACTTAGATTGCCAACACGCCCAAAGACTAACTATATTACACACACCGACAAATATATATATATATATATATATATATATATATATATATATATATACATATATATATATATATATATATATATATATATATATATATAAGGCTTAAAACGTGCACTTCTATAGTTATTGCCTAATTTGTACGTTTATCATTAAGATCACACACAGACTATTGAACTAGGTCACGGGTTCCCAACCTGGGGGTCTTTCTGGGGGGTCGCCAACTGGTTTACTAAACCTTAGTAATTTGAAACAAAACATAAATATTTAGAAGAATTTTTTAAATTCGACTTCATTAACATTACTGGAAATGTAATAGAGAAGAAACAAAGCACACTGTATAAAGTTGTTCTCAGTCACGAATCTATGAAATCTTCAAAACTAAAACGTCATTTGAGATGAGTCATTCGGAATACACCAAAAAATATATGGAGTTCTTTCGTCGGTAAGAAGTTAGTTGCAAACGCCAGAGACTTGATCGAACAGGAAGTTTTCACCAGCATTGGTGCAAGCATCAAATGAAGTAACGGTAGAAAATGCCAAGCAAAAAAAAACAATAGGAGAAAATCTCATCAAACGCTGCATGTACGTAAATGTTAAATAACACATTTTATTGAAATTAAGCTTTCACCATTGTTTGCTTTTCAAGTTGATAAATCAACAGACGTGAGTTCGTGTTCGCAGTTGCTGGCCTGTGTCTATATTCATGCGGATGATAACAAAGAAGAGTTGCTATTTTGTGAAGATAGCATGGAGAAAATAAATACATTTTTTGAAACTGGATGATTAAAATTGGTTAGAACGGCTGTCGGGGTTTGTACGGATCGTGCGCCATCTATGTTTAGCTCAAAATCGGGCTTTCAGAAAACAGAAAAGATTTAGCTCCCTAACCACTACCCTAACCAATCGACATCAAGAGTCTATTGCTAATATAAGTCGTAAATTATATAAAATCTGGAGCCTTCAAAGAACTGAGCAAAAATATTATATCACAAGGTTCTGCTCTTCTACACTACAGTACGCTGGCTGTCTAACGAAATGTTGTAAATTGTGTTTTCGAATTGAAATAAAAAATCAAATTGTTTTTGGAAGTGCAAAGGAAACAAGACTTTTTGGTATACTTAAAACGACATAGAGTGGTTGGAGAGAGTATCATACCTAGCAGATGTGTTCGAACATCAAGATAAGCTTAACCTGAAGCTTCAGGGAAAATGAACGAATATTATAACTTTCCATGATAATCTCGGGGCATTTTTATCAAAGCTGCAAAATCGGTAAAGAAAATAAATCTTGGAAATATTGTAAATTTGAGAAACTTTGCGGTCTGGTAGATGAATCTGATTGTGAGATAATTAAAATTTTGAAAGAAGCGATTTCTGGGCATCTTGAATCTCTTGAAAACGAACATCGCTATTTCCCTGAGCTGAAAAAGAATAATCTGCATTTACGCATTACCCATTCTCTTCTTCCCTTGATGTTGCCAGCATTCCCGATGAACTACAAGATGAATTCTTTATTTGCAGAATGATTCCGAGTAAGATGAAAAACTGCAGACACAATTTTGGTGTAGTATTCACCATTCATACACAAACGTAAAATTGATTGACTTTTCGAATATATTTTGAATGTTATTCTTCGATTAAAAACAAAATTAGGATAATTATAATGACATAGGTTGGCGTTAACAAAAAAAAATTTCTAATTAAAAACTTAACCACGAAGGTTTAGTGAATAGTATGCAATTTTACTCATGCTATTAAAACGGTTATCGAGAGTAGTTCATATTGAAAGTCTACTAGAAAATATTATTTTAGTGCTTATTAATTTCCATACTAATTTCGGCTTTTTAATTTTATGGGGGTCGCGGGTCGCTTACTTTTTATAAAAGGGGGTCGCCACTCTTAAGGGGATATGCTGTTTTTTTCTACTTTTTACAATTTAAGATAGAAAAACTTTTGAATACTATTATCATGTTTGGCACATGAAAGTAAGTATTAAACAGCAAAAAAAGGGTTGAAAACAATTTTGGTTGTCATGGAAACCCCAAAAAACCTCAGCCATTTTGAATTTTTCGGCACTATTAAAAATGCTAAGGCTTTTTTATTTATGCACTTATAGCAATCAAATTTAAACTGATTATATTTCAATATATTTTAAAACTTTTATCACGACAACTTTTTGAAATAGCTACTAGTAAAAATTTAACAAGGTTTAAAAAATCGAACCCTTTTAGTATCCAAAATTTTAAAAATTTGCATATTAATTACGAAATACTTTTTTCTTATGAAAGCCATCACGATTCCCTCGTGACAAAAGTTTTATTTTGGCATAAAGAACAATTACTGAAAATATGGTTGGTATTGTTCAATAAATAAAAAAAGTAGTAGGGTTTTTAGTGTCAAAAACCTGCGAACTGAGATAAACAGCAAAAAGTAACAAAAAGTAGGTCACAAAAATACCACATCTGCGTAAACTGCAAAGCGGATTGTAAGCTTTGGGTGTTTCCGAGATGATGGAAATTAGGATTATGAAACACATAAGAAGTCCAGCTTTCCAATGATGTCAAATATAATATGATGACGGATATAAAACACTTGTTAGAGTGCTTATTAGAATGGAAAAAATTAATTATTTTTTAATTAATAGGGTCATAAAAATGGTAATTTAAACATACAAATAATTTTTTTTTTCATTGGAGTAATTAATTTCTTAATACAAAAATGGACAAAGTATCCGAAAGTGCAAGAAACCCATCATGACGAAAAACAAGAAATTTTGTGATTTTTTGCTTAGCATATCCCCTTAATAGGTTGGGAACCACTGAACTAGGTCATATAGTGAATAAACCAACCTACAAATGGAACATAAATACAATGCAACTATATTTAGCTATGGGAAAACCCATTCACATCAAGTGGTAAGACGAGTGTCGGCAGAAGAACCGTGAACATATTTAGCAGGCTGCTCGGAACAATCATCAACTTAGCGTCTCTGAAATCTCCCGGTCAGTTTACCAATGGCTGTTTAACAAGTTTCGGGACATTGAAAAAAATCATTTTCGAGTACTCTCTACCTGTAACATCAACTATTGCTGACCTTCAACAAAAGATCACTATTAATGTTTAAAAGATAAATTATTCTTTATAAATATTAAAATGTTTCTTATACAACCGTTTGACAAAGAATACAATTATACAATTATAAACTATAAAGATGAGACAAATATCCTCATTGTAAACCCGTTTATTTAAACGAGTAAAGTAACAAAAAACGATTTTATTTTATAGTGAATTACGATAAACAGTAAATTGTCAAGTTTGTCCCAAATAGTAAATTGTCAAGTTGGTCCCGAACAGTAAACTGTCAAGTTTGTCCCGAACAGTAAACTGTCAAGTTTGTCCCGAACAGTAAACTGTCAAGTTGGTCCCTGACAGTAAATTGTCACGTTGGTCTCAAACAGTAAATTGTCAAGTTGGTCCCATACAGAAAATTGTCAAGTTGGTCTCAAACAGTAAATTGTCAAGTTGGTCCCTGACAGTAAATTGTCAAGTTGGTCCCTGACAGTAAATTGTCAAGTTGGTCCCGAACAGTAAACTGTCAAGTTTGTCTCGAACAGTAAACTGTCAAGTTTGTCCCGAACAGTAAACTGTCAAGTTGGTCCCTGACAGTAAATTGTCACGTTGGTCTCAAACAGTAAATTGTCAAGTTGGTCCCATACAGAACATTGTCAAGTTGGTCTCAAACAGTAAATTGTCAAGTTGGTCCCTGACAGTAAATTGTCAAGTTGGTCCCTGACAGTAAATTGTCAAGTTGGTCCCTGACAGTAAATTGTTGAGTTAGTTCACGTCTATCTAACAGTTCGCCTCAGCCAGCTGTTGTAACGACACAGCTGATGTACTATAACAGCCTACTTGGTACTGTCCTGAACGTATCTGGCTAATGTCTTCCCCATGACGCGTTATTATAGTATAGCTTTTAAAAAAATATTTAAAGTTATGCGGATGTGTATAATTTTGTCACGCCCAGCAGACGGTTTCCCTGCTTGCCCCGTGGATTAGTTAGCAGCCTGCTGGCAACTATGTGGTCGGTCTCTCGAGACCCCAGTCACAGTTAGTCATAGTGAGTGCCAGAGTTATTTTTGGCTGCGATTTAAGTAACACGTTGATTCTTAGACTCAAAACACTCTTTAAATTTAAGTTACGTAACATATCAGAGTAAATATTAATATACATACTTATGCATATATATGTATGTATATATATATATATATATATATATATATATATATATATATATATATATATATATATATATATATATATATATATATTATGCATATAATATGTATTATATGCATATTCTATATTATATATGTGTGTGTATATGCAGTGCATACACACATACCTTTACTTGTATCTTTATTAATACATATTATTTATAATTTATTATATCTTTTA